ACAGAGAGAGAGGGAGGAGAGAGAGAGAGAGGAGAGAGAGAGAGAGAGAGAGAGAGAGAGAGAGAGAGAGAGAGAGAGAGAGAGAGAGAGAGAGAGAGAGAGAGAGAGAGAGAGAGAGAGAGAGAGAGAGAGAGAGAGAGGGAGAGAGAGAGAGAGAGAGAGAGAGAGAGAGAGAGAGAGAGAGAGAGAGAGAGGAGAGAGAGAGAGAAAGAGAGAGAGAGAGAGAGAGAGAAAGAGAGAGAGAGAGAGACAGAGAGAGAGAGAGAGACAGACAGAGGCACAGAGAGACAGAGAGAGAGAGAGAGAGACAGACAGAGGCACAGAGAGACAGAGAGAGGCACAGAGAGAGAGAGAGAGAGACACACACACACACAGAAAGAGAGCCAAGGAAGACGTACCTCTTTAATGCAAAACCGCAAAAATACCAAAAATTCGACAGAAAAAAGCAGCAGTACCCCACCCCCTAAGCCAGTTCAAGCCACAGCCCTTTAGAGCAAAGGAGACACACTTTAAACAAAGGCGGCTGTGCTGCTTTGTACGCAGATTCCGGACGGCGGGGAGGTGTGGGGCTATGACGTTGTTGGCGCTTGGGAACTGGTTGATGCGTAGAGCAACCCCTGCACGCGCATGAAGGATGCGCGCGCGCAACAAGAAACGTCTGACATATATCACACTTTTCTTAAATTAAAGTGTAAACTTTGACGCAGTTGAACGTGGGCAATGGAATGCCGTCTGGGCGTTGTGGCGGGCAAAGCTGCGACCATTTCTGAATGACCATAGCGATATAAAACAAGCGTCAAACAATTCAAAGCCACAAAACTTGTCAGATGCAGAGTAAACCTGTTGACAACAGGTATTAAGAACAGATCGACCGCTTAAGGTTTATAGCGTGATAAAAACACACTTTTGTGCCCGATTACGTCACCAACTCGCCGCAAAACCTTGAAAACACGAAAACGGCAGCCCCGAATCCGCCAAGGCCTGAACTAATATATAGGTGAGGGTAAGCAAGGATGCTTACATGAGGTGGGCGCGGGCAGAGGCGCTGAAGGCGGGGGTGAGTGCTCGTTTCTTGACCGCCTCCACACCTCAAATTCGGAGCCGCCAACAACAAAGAGAGCCGTGTGTGACGTCGTGTTCTTCTTCTTCAAAAACACAAACATGACATAATCTCCCAAAACCATATTATTATAACCATAAACTTTATATGATAACATTATATAATCAACAATAAGTCTATATTATTCTACAATAACTAGATCAAAACCATCCTCTTCTTCAACCAAGCCCTTTCGTTCGAGTCATTTTCCCTCTCTCTCTCTCTCTCTCTCTCTTTCCCTGCCGCAGGTCAGTGACTCGTGCTTGACGATGAATGGCAGTGCCACGACACTGGTCACACATGTGCTTTGGTCATGTCTGTAGCTGGCTTGAAGCTTCCTTGTTATCAGGGTTTGGGTCCGGGTCAGAAAGGCATGGGTGGTGGGCTGATCAGGATATAACAGCAGGTTGCATTTGGACAACCATGTTCTGGGGATGAATGGTGTGCTCGCTCAGCCGCTTTCTCTCACCCCGCCCCCGCGACGACGAACCAATGTGGCATAGGTGACTGCTCGTGATCTGCGTTTGATCCACGACTTTTTGCTTGGTGTTCAGGGGTTGCCCACTTTTGGAGCCAAGGAATAATGGCCATGTTGGGTCGTCTTGGCGTTGCCGTGCGCTTGGCGCGCGTGCCTCAGCTGCACACGGCGCGCCTCGCCTCCAGCTACCAGCAGCACGCTGCCCTCCTCTCTGAGCTGGGCTTGAGCGAGCACAACAAGGGTATCTACAACGGCCAGTGGGTTGAGGGCACTGCCGGTAACCTTGAAAGTATCGATCCCGCCACCAACGAGGTCATTGCCACCGTCAGCCAAGCCTCGGTGCAGCAAACCCAGGAGACCATCGCTGCCGCCCAGGAAGCCTGCGCCGAGTGGCAAAAGGTTTGTCCGGGCCATTCATCAACCCCGCCCCCCATCGGGGGTTTTTTTGGGTGACCGTTCCCCGCCCGTCCAAGCAGGCGACGTGGGGACGGGCCACCTCCTCTAGCCCCTTAATTCTCCTTTCTTTCCTCTCACCCCACACCTCGTGCAACGCACGTGTGCCCTTCCCCAGCTAACCATGCCCGCCCGTGGCGAGATTGTTCGCGTGCTTGGCCTCGAGCTTCGCGAGAAGAAGGAGGCTTTGGGCAAGCTCCTGGCTCTCGAAGTCGGCAAGATCATCCCGGAAGGCGAGGGTGAAGTGCAGGAATGTATGTCATGTTCCCATCTCTCCCGAGGCTCGGGTTGCACTGCACACCGTCTGACAAGTTGTCCCCTCCCTTGGCCATACATCAGATATTGACATCTGTGAGTTTGCCACCGGTCTCAGCCGTACCATCAGCGGCAAGATCATCCCCTCTGAACGTTAGTCGTCGTCTTGCACCCCGTTCTCCCCAAAGAAGTTGATGGTCAAATCGTTCCAACTTTTTTTTTTTTTTTTTGTTATTGTTGTTGTTGTTGTTATGCGTGGTTTCCTCCTTTCCTTTTTGTCCTCTCACCATTTTTCTTGGGCGTGCTCTTCTTGTAGGCCCCGACCATAAGCTCCTGGAAATGTGGAACCCCCTGGGCGTGGTCGGCATCATTTCCGCCTTCAACTTTCCCGTCGCCGTGGCCGGCTGGAATCTGGCCATCTCCCTGGTGGCTGGCAACACCAACGTCTGGAAGGGTGCTCCCACCACTCCGCTCACTTCGTAAGCGAGCTCCTCTGCCCCAGTTTTGGGTCACTCAACCCATGGTTTTCACCCAAATCATTGCTTCCACTTAATCTCATCACTCGCTGCCCTCACCTTGCTGTTTTGTGCCATCATGACCGGCGCTGCTCGTAGCGTGGCTTTGACCAAGCTCATGGCCGACGTGTTTGAGAGCAAGGGTCTGCCGGGTAGCATCGTGTCCATGGTGACGGGTGGTGCCGATGTCGGTGCAGCCCTGGCCCAGGACCGCCGTGTGCCTCTCGTTTCCTTCACGGGCAGCACTGCTGCCGGTCACAAGGTGGGCCACATGGTCCAGGACCGTTTTGGCAAGGTTCTGCTCGAGCTTGGCGGCAACAACGCCATGATTGTCATGGACGACGCCGACTTGGAAATGGCCGTCCGTGCCATCCTCTTTGCCGCGGTCGGCACCGCCGGTCAACGCTGCACGACCCTCCGTCGTCTCCTTCTCCACGAGGATGTGTATGACGAGGTCCTTGAGCGTCTCGTCAAGGCCTACCAATCGGTACGCTGTTGCAATACTCGTGCCTGTGCCCATTGCTGGTCGGCCGTCGAGTCAAGCTCGGGTCTCATCTGTTGCGACATGTGTCACGGTGCACTGACCCTCTTGCCCGGCTAACTTGCTTCTGCCTAGGTAACCATTGGTAACCCGGCCCAGGACGGCATCCTCTGCGGCCCTCTCCATAGCAAGACCTCGGTTGAGAACTACCTCCAGGGCATTGAGCGTGCACAGGAGCAGGGCGGCCGCGTTCTTGTTGGCGGCAAGCGTATCGATGGCCCCGGCAACTTTGTTGAGCCCACCATCATCGAAGCCTCGGCTGATATGGAGGGTAAGTGCTGTAAAGGGAGGGCGTGCTCTGCTTTTGTGTGTCATCAAGTTGAAAGTGACGGGCACCTCGACACTCACGCGCGTGGTGCACCGTCTGGTCTCGGTTCGCAGCCGTCAAGAACGAGATTTTCGCCCCCATCTTGTACGTGATGAAGATTAAGAGCTTTGAAGAAGGCGTGGCTGTCAACAACAGCGTCGGTCAGGGTCTCAGCTCCAGCTTGCTGACCAAGGACCCCTCCAAGATTTTCGAGTGGATCGGGTATGTGCCATCTCCCGCAGTGGCGCTTGTTGTGCCATCTTTTCTTTCTTGCTTGCTTACTCAATGCGAGGATGCTCGCTTTTGTTTCTCCATGCGCCTAGCCCCCGTGGTAGCGACTGCGGCATTGTCAACGTTAACATTCCGACCAACGGTGCCGAGATTGGCGGAGCCTTTGGTAAGCTGACACGCATGCACTCGGCATGGCCCTGCTTCTCACACCCAGGGATGGCCTCGCCCTGTGTGCTCGTGTCCTCATGAGCGGTGGTGGTGGGTCTGCGTGTTCTCTACATCAGGTGGTGAGAAGGAAACGGGCGGTGGCCGCGAATCTGGCTCGGATGCCTGGAAGCAATGTACGTTTGCGAGTCCGCCTTCGACGCGGGTTGAGGGCCCTGCTGAATCTTGCAGAGTTTTTGTGCGTGGTTGAACTCATTGTGGTATTATCTTGCGGCTGCTCGTCCACGTCTAGACATGCGCCGTTCCACCTGCACCATCAACTACGGCACCGCTCTGCCTTTGGCGCAAGGCATCAACTTTGGTTAAAAGTGCTGTCTTTCCACGTTGATGTACGCCCTTGTGACGTGTGTGCAGCCCACGGGCTTGCGTTCTCGTGGGTATTTCCGGCCATGGTCAGGGACCATCATGCTATGCTTGATTCGTGCCCCTTTGTCTTCCATCTCCTGCTTGTACAATCTGAGCATGAGCAGTTTTGTTGTGGCGCAGCCGCTGCTTGAACGGGGGGCTTGATCCGAGTACGCTGGAAGATTGCGAGCCAATTCCATCTTGAAATCGATTTCGAATCTCTACTCGAAAACTGGCCCCCGTCGATCTGCTGTGAATGGTCCCGAGTCAGCCAGACGGATGCAACGCAATGTGTATCGTACCGGTGGAGACAGGCCAGGAGAGTTTGTCAGGCTCAGAATGTCTATCGAATTAACGCGACAGCGTGTTTCATATTGTGGTGAGTGCACAACACATCAACAGGAGATGGGAAAAAGGGCAAGAATAAGTAGTATTGCCGTGCACACACTTGCAGGATGCAAAAAGTGCATGCTGGTTTTGATGCAGTCCCATCCGCTCCACTCACCACACACATCAAGAAAAATAAAAATTTAATAAAATAAAATGAAACGAAACAGAAAAAAGAGGAAAAATCGGAAGAAATAGACGAAAAAAGCCAAAAAGCAATGAGGGGCGTCACAATCATTATCAGATCTCTTTTTCTGTCATGGCGCACTGATGCTAGACTTCTCAAGAGAGAGAGAAAGAGAGAGAGACACACACACCACAACGCGCGATCCACACCCCACCCGCGAGCTGGCTGCCACGGCTCATGGTCCCCTCCTTAATTAACGGTTTCATGTTCCTCTTCTGTGGATGTGTGTGTGTTTGTGTGTGTTAATTGTCAGATGTTTTCACAGTCGGCTTGGCAGGTGAGTCGCTTTGCCTGTGTGTGTCTCTCCAGAGTGCTCAGATGTTGCTAAAGTCTCTGGTTTATCTTAAAGTCCGCCCCTCTCTCTGTTGCTGCACTAATTTGACACAGACGTGTCCCATTGAATCGCATGTTTTTCTGCAAACATCCTCATTCGATCCATCCCTCTGATTTCCCTCTTACTCACCTCCCTCTCTCTCATATTATTCTCCACACTCTCTTTCTCTGTCTCTCTCTCTGTCGCCTCACTGTCTTGGGGCCTCGGGGCCTTGGTCGTTTTGGGTTGCTTGATCTCTTGGATTGGACTCGTGCATGTCTTGGCTGGGCTGCTTGAGCGTTGCTGGTTGCTGCGGGTTGTTGTTGAGCCGAGATGGCGCCAACGTGATCGCGCCCTGAACGCACAGCTACGGACCGCTCACGTGCCTGTGTCGCGCCGCGCCGCGCCGCGCCCACTACTTCTCTGGGGCCATGGCGGGCACAATGGCAGACACGCTTCGAGGCACCCTTGGTCTCATCATCCTGGCATTACTCCTGCAAACCAGGCTCTCCGCCGCCGTCGATGCGCCGTGCGTTGTTGCCGTCAGATGACAAATGCCTGAAACGATCCTCGAGTGCATCCTCTGGCGCCTTCGCAGCATCGGGTTCCGCCTTGATGCAACTCACGACTCGACTCGCTTTTGCAAATAGATACATTCCGCCTTATTTTAACTTGTCCCTTCGCACAAACGTACGTGAAACCGTCTGGGCACACTTGACGCCTACATCGTCACAAAACTTATCTCCTGCCTCACAAGCCTTCTGCCTCCGTCCGTCTTCCCTGCGTTACTTTTTGCTCTGTGACTCATCCGATTCACAGGTGGGGCCAGTGTCCATATCTGCACTTCCCCACGCCAAATGCAACTCGACCAACCTTGAAGACCGGTGTGGCAAGGTTTTAGCTTACGTTCAGGGTGAGTTGCCGCTTGCCAAGCCCATCAGCGCCATCCGACTGAGAACCCTCATCAAACTCCTGGTCTGGCACAGGCGCCCAAGTGTCCCTCTATGCTGCTTTGGGGCTGAGCCCTGGAGCTACCTTTGGTGCCAGCGTCCAACCACTCGGCTGTTCCTACGATCCTGCCACGGTTAGCTCGCGTCAGCCTGGCCGTTAATAAATCTGAGCTCAATCTTCGAAAAAAACGCGAGTGGCCAAGTGCCACTGTACACCAATTGGGCGCCATTCTTGCCACGTTTCCTTTGTGCCGAAGTGTCATCTTACGCCCTTTGTTGCTGTCAGTCTTTCAAGTGCCTGTTGGCGGTCGGTGCTCCTGGGACAACCTATGGCGCTTTGAACCTGTCCGGCGGGTTGTATACATTTCTCTTGACAGCCACCGACTCGCCGTATCATGCCACTCCCATTGCTCAAGTTACTCCTGCCGTCATCGACTTTGGCTTAACGGCCGTTCTACATCGCTTGGTCTGCCCTGTTTTTTCTCTTTTTCCGCTATCATGTTTCGCGGCCATGCCATGCCATTCAGCTTGCAATCTCATGCCTGTTTCACGCGCGCATCAGGCCCAGGAACGCGTTGTCGCTACCCATGGGCTGGGCACGCAGTTGGCAGCCCTGCCCATGTTATTCGATGATGGTATGAGATGTGACGGCATCAGCGCCCCAGTAGCAAGCCCTCTCCGTCCTTTGCACTCATGTGCGTGCGTGTCACAACTTAGGTTTCATGAACCGAGTCTCTGAGCTACCCCTGGTCGTCACAGCGCCACAAAGCGTGCTCCCAAACGTGTTTGGCAGCCTGACCGGCGAGGTTTTTTTGACCACGCATACTTGTGCGTCTGTTTTCCTTCTACGTCTCATCGCCTCCAGCCTGCCGATTCTTCCCATCGGCACGTTTGTAGATAGTTTGAGCTCATGCGCGGCTCAATTCTCTCATTTCGACCATGGTGCGCCGTGTTTGCCCCACGAAACTTGCCACCCGACCATAGTCTCAAACGGCACTCGCCTTCGAGCTATTGCGCCGCTGCTGGCCCACGTGGATGGCCTGGGTCAAGCTGTTGCAGTGCTGCGTAGCAACACCAGCACCGTGTCCGACATTCAGCTGCTTCTGGCCGTTGGCACCTACTATGGCACAGCACTCGTGCACCTTCATGTTGCCTTGCCTGCCAGTGGATCTGCAGGTTTGTCCAAACGAACGGCTCTTGTCTGTATTATCCATTGCCGCGGCAGCTTTGCGTTGGCCTAATCCATCTCTCTCAACGCGATCGCCTAAATCTTGACCCTTTGCCTTCCGCCCTCCTTTCTTTCCTTCCCCTCGCTCGTCCTTTGACAGGTCATCCCGTATGGCACTGTACCGCAGTGCAACTCATCAACGCAGAGCGCCCACCGAGCATTTTACTGCCCTTTCCCTTACCCAGCGTAGTGTTTGACGCGCCACCTCACTTTGATGGCTCCACATTCAGAGCCATTTCTTTCTTGGCAGCAACTTGTGGCTTTGCACAATGCGCGGATCATCATGTCTTCTACAGTCATTTGCGCAGACCCACGCCTGGTACGTGTGTGCGCTCATCAGTTTGCCAGCACTGCCAAATCGGTTTTTTTTTGGCACGAGACGGTCCTCGTCTCCCGCCACGCCGTTACTGGCCAAGCGTTGCGACACGCTCTTGCAGATACCGCGATGGCTTGTGCTCAACGACTCACGTTTGCTTTTGCTGGTCCGATGCAGTTGCCAAGCTCAACGCGTTGCGGCCGATTGGGTTGGCCTGGCGTCAGCTGTACAACTACACAGAACCAGCCAAGCTTTTGATTGCTTCGGTGCTGGCCGCCGACGCTCAATTGAACCGGACGGAGCCCCTCATCCTGAATAGTAATGCCCCTGTCGAGTTTGTGAGCAACAACCTCAGGCCTCAGATGCTGGTTTTAGACCGGACTTACGACTCCATGATCATGACCTCTCAGTGGTGGATTGCCTCAGACACCCAAACGCTCGAACTACGCAATCGCGTCACTTGGGGCTTAAGCCACTCTTGGACCATTTTCGATATTTTGGAGCAAACGTCCGTGGAGAGTGACTCTGAAGAGGAGCAACACATTGCTCGGGTTAGATCAAATTGGCCCGCGTACGTCTTGACCGTCCAAGAAAAAAACGCTCACATATTTCTAACCATCAACAACGGGCACGGCGCCATTGAGGCCACCCTATGGCCTGCGCTTTTGTTGGAGCTCAACACGACTAGCCTTGAATTCCAGCTCATCACGTCGGACAACTCATCAACCATCACGGCCACTGGAGCCAACGGCTACTTTTTCGCGAGCCTCCCCTTGACCATGGGCAATCGAGATGGACATCGAACGCGCTATCGTGGCACAGTCGAAAATCCAGCGACAGGAGCTGGCATGAATGTCGCACAAGAGGCCGAGGGAGAACGCTATGGTGCCAGACTAGCCATGACCGCGCCGTTGAACACGACCTCGACCGTTCTTTTCATTCTCAGTGGTGGCTCCGGTCGGATCGCAATTATCGACCTCACTAGATTTCCCAGAGGCATTGACTACCAAACGATGTTTTCGCTAAGTAATGCCATGGTCACCGACATCGATGCATTGTTCCAAACATACTTCCTCAGCGAGTTTCACGACTTTGACAGCAACTTACGGTTTAGCCTTGTGAGCAAAAATACCGTTGACATTATCACGAATCTTACTCACTTCGACTTTTTCACAGAGCATCGGGACTGTTATCTACCCCTGCTCACCATGTCCTCCGACCAAGCTTGGATGTCCTGTTCGAGTTCGACGTCAAATGAGTGGCTGGCCTTCTTTGATGGGAGCCGCGTCAGCCAGCGGGTCAACCTCACGCTTGGCTATTACGTCCAACTTGTGGTTGCCGCAGCGCTACACGAGCCTGCCGATGAGGTCGCACTTGCCCTTACCTATCCTGGGCTCGCCTACAGCCATGCACTTTTGGTCCCAACGATGGCCGTGCCTGCCTTCATGTCCAGCCTGAACCTCGAGCCCGTCGTTCTTGATTGCACCAGCGCCTTCTCAATCGTTATAGAGCCAAGCACGCTGCAGAGCTTGGTGCACATAATCGTGCCAAACACCCAGACCTGTTCTGGTCAAATTCAAGCGATGGCAAGATATGGGCAAATGGAGGGTGCCATACGCGTTCTGACTCGAGGAGCTAACGCCACAAGATTAGATTACTCGGGCAGCATCACTGCCGGTACTTTCTCGTGGCTTTTAGTTCCGCGCATCAACGTAGCTCAGACTGATGTGCATTGCTTCTTTACCGCGAGGACCACGGAGCGGAGTGGAATTACTTTCACGTTTACCCCGGGCAATACCCGCCGCGAACCAGCCGTTTTGGCCGGCCGTATTCCACCATATGTGGTTCTCAACGGATACTTTCCAGCTACTGTGCTGTGGACGGGGCGTTTCTTCTTGGCATTGAGCAATGATCTATACCCCGTCTGGCGCTTCGCGGGTGACATCAAATGGACACCTATCATGGCTGGCCTTGTTGACAGCGGGCACCATCGACTCTCATTCGACCCCGACACCAGAGGCCAAGTTGTGACGTCCCACCTGGTGGTGTGGCCTTGTACCACAACAGAAGACCCTCCGCGGACGGCATTGCTTGTACTTTGGCCCAATGGTCGAGCCATTCAGGCTGTGACCAGCTACTCTGTTCCCACCGATCGCCTATCCACGATCGCTCTGGCACTGCCGACGTCGGCAAGCGTCCATTACTTGATAGCGGGCCAGAATGCAAGCGATGGCTCTGGAGTTTTGCTACATCTTGCTAATGGCCAAAGCTACACAAACATGACAAGTTTGCCGTCCCATCTTGGTCCCCTTTTACCGGGTCGTCTGGAATTGCCATACTTGGTATTCTCAAACATCTCGACCTCGCGCGACGCGCACACTGTCGTGCCTGGCAGCGTCAGCGCGGCCTTTCAGAATACATCAGTGATCTTGCATGTGTGGGATGTGCATCGTCATCAAGAAGCGTGGTCAGTAGCGGTACCTCGCGACAGCTGGTATCTTGGGTCTGTGAACATCAACGGGACCCTCGCTCCTATCCTTTGCTTACCCGCCGCTGAAACGAGTGGAGCGCGCCTTCAGATGTGCCAGCCCTCCGGTTGCTATACTCTGCTGTCCGGGCCCGGGCGCCTGGTGCGAGCTACGGTGTGGGGAGACAGCCTTTACGCGGTATTTCACGACGCCCCACGCGGCTTTGCTTTCCAAGTCGTGCACTACAACTTCTCAAAAGCAGCGCCGAGCCTATATCAGTTTGCTGGTCAAATTATTCATCAAAATTTCGCCGACTTGCTCGATCTACAAGCCACTGCTTCGACCGTGTACATGTATTTAACCAACCGTCAATCTAAAATAGCACTATTCGGTGGCGCTCTCCTGTTACTTGAGAATTCTGCAGATGTGATGGTTCCCCCGTGCCCCAGTGGCGCGAGCAAGCCGGCGTCTCCCTTGACGCTACCCACCAACGGCTCGCTTCTCACCTGGCGCTCCTGTTGGCACGAACCAGGTTCGTCCGAGATATCGATGTCCGTTGATTTGACCTCTCACGTGGTGGTGAACGTCGCTGCTTCCGACGCAGTTGTGGTCATGTGCTATGAAAATGGTACGAGCTTCACAATTCAGCGTGAGCACTGGTGTACCGCACCAAGATGTGTCATTACGACTGCCTGTGCTCTTGGCCAACAACGCTTTCTCGTTTTTGTCGTCCCAGTGATGGGCAACAGCTATGGCGTGCAGTACGCCGTTGGTGCCGCGTGTGATGAAGTTGAGGTTGTGGACGATGGTACTACAGGCTTGCCAGTAACTGCTGTTAATGGTAATGAATGGCTTTTCATCAATCAGACTGGAGCTGTGGGCCTCGGAATGCTTGGTGCCGGCTTTTCTTGGGAACCCATGGCTTCGATTGCCAGCGCATTGCTCGACAATGAACGTGTCCTTGATGCTACATGGCGTGAGGGGCGACTGTTTCTGCTAGCACATAATGGGAGTGGTCCATGCTCTCTCCTCAGTGTCCTCTGGTTGCGCAGTCTTCCGTTGTCGACGCGGCTGTCCTTAGGAAATAGCAACTGTGTCGATGCCGAGTTGTTGGTGCCCTCAGAGGTGGACGCGCCCATTTGGGTGTTGCTGCGCAGTGTCGAGACGACCCCTTCGAGCTTGCGCACGTTGTGGCAAGTCAACGTCACGGGTAACCGCTTGTATAACGCTACTCTTGCACGAACCCGTGTGCATGCGGCAGCCAGCGTGCAAGAAGAAGACGCATTTGTCATTTCGGCTTCAGCTGCGCCTGGCAGCTCTCCCGAAATCATGGTCCTCAACTCAGCTGGATCTTTGCAAGACGTCGATGCAAGCATTATTGCCTGGACTGCGGAATCCAACCTAGGTTATGTTGTTGGCTTGGCGGCAGACGTGCTTCTTTTTATTGAGGAGTACATTGAACACACGTTGGCGCGGTTTTACTCCTTCAACTTTGCAGATCTCTCTGTGGGCCCCTTCGCGGGCTCAATACCACTGCGCCTCTCCACACCAGCTCACGGGTATTTGCGTCTCTCTGCAAGCCAATACATCATGGCTACGTTTGTCGAGGGTAATACGGTCGAGGTTCTCAACGCACAGACAACAAACAGTTGTGTCAAAGCACTTCCCATGACCCCCGTCCTATTGAAGCAGCTGCCTGAGATCACAGTTCTGTACGGTCGGGCTGGCCATGCTGTTCGGCTTGGCTTCGTAGAACCCGCCAGCACTCCATCTCGCAGCCCAACCACAACTTCCGCTAGCATGACCACCACGACACGGTCACAGGGCTGTGCCGTTTTCCCCCTTGATGCCAACAAACCATTCAACGGGTATCGCATTTTCGACCAGTACCTCAGCGGCGTAGTCGATGAGGTTAATCTGCAGGCGTGTCCAGGCTTAATCTATCACATGCGACTGCGTGGAATATCTGCGCCCATCTTTGTCGACTTGATCTTACCCTCTGCAGCTCCGGTGCAGCTAGACATTTCCCTGCCCAGCGGTCATTCCGTTGGCCACCTCCGACTTGCCACGACGTTTGCTCGAATTCCCATTGTCATCCGGGGGCTTACTGCTGTATACATTCAGATGTCCGTGGCACAGCCAACCTTGTTCAACATGACCCTACACGTACCTGACGTAAATTATGACGAAGACGCCATCAGCAACTGCAATGAATGCCACGCAGGCCCATTGTTGCTGCCACAGCGTGAAAAGGTGCCCGCTGTTGCGGCCGCACAAGCGGGAAAGCTCTCCTTGGTGTCATCTCCCGACTTTCTTCAACTCTTGAGCAGTACAACGCGGGTGCAGGCACGCCTAGCCGCACCATTCCCCCCATCCCCGGAGAATCCGACGACAGAGCTTGCTGACCTTCCGTGGTTGCTACCCGCATGCGATTGTACCGTTGCGGATCCAGCCGGAGGGGGCCTACTTGTCGCTGATGGGATGCGTCTTGACTACGTACTTTCCTTTGATACGCTCGGAGCCGGTATTCTTCACTTTCAAGATTCCGAGCTGGTTGTATCTTGTTTCAAGCCCTGCCTGAGTGTTGCACGCTTGGCACTTGGGTCCACAACTACCGGCTGGTCGAGCAATTTGCTGGAGATGTCCACCAATGCTAGCTACGTAGATGTGGCGCGGTGGCCAGCGGTGCCATCGATCTTGCTCGTGCCGGGTGTCTCCACTCCGCTTACCAACAACGGCATGGGGTTAACTTATGAACTAGCCACTTTTGCCACCTGGCATACGCTTCTTCAACTCGATTTCGATACCGCAGTTGCGGTGGGAACGCCCACGGTCCTATTCCGTGTGCGCGTGGAATTCCGGCCCTTCGTCTCGGGCTTTAGCGCTCGTTTTAGGCACGCCACCAACGGGACTGTGCTAAGCACCGTCCAAGCTCAGGCGAATGACGGCGGCTATGTGGAGCTATCCAGCGTCACCTCGATTGATGCTCAAAGCTTGACTTGGTTTTTTGAGGTCCAAGGCAATGGGCATCTACACGTCTTCAACTTGACAGTCCAACGAATGCCTTACTACGGTTCGTGTTAGCTTTTTTGGGCAGAGGATTTCTTTTCTCACACATATCCCTAGAAATCGTGATATAAGTTAGGAATCAAGTCTCACGTCAACACTCGCCGAATGCGCATCATCGTTGGTGCTCTTGTTGAACTTATCTTGCTTGTAGGCGACATCAACCGCTGCTTTTGCACAAGTTTTCCATCTTGCACGGCCGAAGAACGCTTCTCCCTCAACGGGGACACGTTGATGTTCGAGTGTGCCGCTTGTGATGACGGACTCACGCGATCTCTCACCAATCCCTACAGGTTAGAGCCAGCACGATGCCCCGCACTGCTGGTGCCCTCATGCATGCATTCACGGTATATGGTGGGTCTGGGCTGCTTAGGTGTGAGCCATTGTGGACTCCAATTCTTGACGCCTCGCTGTCCGTCGCTGAGGGCGGCGATGTTCGTGGATTGCTGACAAGCAATGATCTTCTTTTGCTCAGCATGGCCAATGGTAAAAGCGATACCAGCAATGACGACTCAGTCGGCCAAGTTCTTGTGTGGGTGGAGGACATGGGCATGTGGGGCCAGCAAACCGTCCTATCGTCGCCACGGCGCAACGCCTCCGAATTTGGCATACAAATGCTTGCCATGACGCACGGCCGTTTTGTGATAGTCGATCACGTACCCAGCGCTGGCGCCAGCAATACCAGCAACCTGACGCTGTTCATTCACAATGCGACAACCATGGACCCGGGCCTCTACTTTCCGTTTGTGGCACCCCCGTTACCGATACCAGCTTTAGGCGTCACCAGCTCAGGCATACTGTACTCTGATGTTCTCGACGAACAGCCGAGGATCTGCTCTTTGCCAATATCTAATCAACTGCCCGCAGCCCTGACGCTGGGGGGATCTGGTGGTGTTTCCTGTTTTCCGATTGACAGTCCTTTGAGCATTTCAACCAGTGAGCACAACTCTTTCCTGAGCAATAGCTCGTACATGCTAGTTCTGCAGCAGGATCCTCAGACCAGCTTTGGACGAGTGCAGCTGACGTTGGATATGTCCGCTGAGGCCAACTTTTCCTTTACTGAACATCACACATCGTCAGCGTCGCACCTGGTGATTGGTCTTTACGGTAATGTCGCGCACTACCTTAATGTGTGGCGTCGTGAAAGCAACGGCAGCATCCATGAGCACGGCACCTTCATGTTGATGGGCAGCCGTCAACACATGGGTTTGATCATGCTGGAAGACGCCGTGGTTTTGGCCAGCTATCGCAGCCCAACCCAGCTCACGGTTGTCGCCATGGACTTTTCTGACGACACGTTCAGCACGGTCTTCAGAAAGCCCTTGTTGGATGCGAATCGTGTGACCACGGGTAGCGGGACGCTAGCCAAGGCAGACAACGCCGTGTACCTGCTCTGGGGAACCCAGGTGCTGGTCCTCGCATCTGGCTCAAACCCCGTGCGTTTGGATCCCACGTACCTCTACAATCAGGATTCAGCCTTGCTCCTGTCGTGGACGGTGCAAACGTATAATCTGCAGATTTTAGTTGACGGGTTACCCACTGCCCCTGTCGAAATTTCCTCGACTTCTTTGACCACAACCTACTCGACAAGCAGTTCGTTGCTCAGTACAGCCACAGTGCCGCTTGCAGCGGTCGGAGGAGCTTCGCCACCGACGGGCGCGATCGTGGCAGGCGTGCTGGGCATCGTGCTCGTGCTCTTCGTGGCTGCGGTGATGCTCGTGCGTCGGCAACGGGGGAGTCAGCGACAGTCGCTAATGCATCGACAAGGCGGAGTGGGCGTTGACGCATCCACGGTGCCCATGTCGGCAGAAGGGCAAATTGAGTTGTGTTTGTTGCAGTTTGAGCAGCAGCTCCTCAGTGGGACTATGCGGCACGCGAAGAGCAACGAGACCGCTGTGCAGGCTGGCGCTCACTCCATGACCATGATCAGCAGGTATCAAATCTGCGTCGTTTTGTAACGCCGCGGTTGCGAATAGACAGGACCTGGAAAGGGCAGATACAGGCGCTGGGATTCGGGCAAGAATGGACTTGCTTTGAGCCACCTCACTTGATCTTTGCTTGCGACCGCTGTCTTTGATGCTTGCCTTGAAAAGCAAATGGCTGCAGCAGACCGAGTTACTTGGAAAAGGCCATTTTGGAGCCGTTTACAAGGTCTGTTGGGACCAGAGCTCCACGATGACGGTCAAAAACACTTCTCACCAAGCCAGAGGCTGAGCTAATTCTGATGTTGCCTTGTGCCTCTTGACGATGGCTTGGTTCACCTGCAGGCGATTCCCACGAAGCATCGCGATCTTTTTCGCGACTCCGTGGTTGCCTTCAAGACGTTTGAGGATGTACAGGTAGGATCAATCGTGGCGTCTGTTCGCTTTGACCTCTGCTCTCGGCCAACCTTCTATTTGCTAACGCACGAGTGGGTGGCGCGGTAGATGGCGGATTACAAGGCCGTCATGATGGAGGCAGCACTGATGCACATTGCTTCCCAGCACCCTCACGTGGTGCAGCTCATTGCTGTTGCACAAGACTGGTGCGTGCGTACGGTCGTCGAAGGTGGTCTTCATGTCCACAGATGAACAATCTTTTGCAAAACGCTGGCAAGACCAACCAGTCTGCCTTTGACTCATTGTGCGACCGCCCGCCTTGTAATATTAGCATGCCAATCGCTTTGGTATTGGAGTACGCGGACTTGGGTGACCTGCGAGCCTTCTTGCGGCGCCCGGATGCCAGAATCTCTTTTCCCATGCAGGTGTGAACCCGTGCTTTTGCATGCTTGTGCGCAATCTTGCCTCAGCTCACGAAAGCTTTTTGACTTGGTGCTTAGCTCGAGTGGATGCTCCATATTGCGAGAGGTCTGGCTTATGTTCATCAAAACTGCCTGGTGCATCGAGATCTGGCTAGCCGCAATGTGCTACTCTTCAGCCGGCCTGGTGCAGTGCCACTCGCCAAGTTGGCTGATTTTGGCTGTAAGCTGGCCTCTTTCCCCTCGCTGGTGCTTCATTTCAGTTGCATGTGGGCTGACTTGGCTGGGTTTTCATGACCGATTCCTTCATGGGGGGCGACTTGTCTTGATAGTGAGCCGATACGTCTCCAAGGAGCATGATTACTACCGGACGGCTCAGCTGGATGCCCTTCCATTTCGGTCAGAATTCTTTTCTGCTGGCGCGTAGTCTTTGGAGGTGCCTCATCATGCTTTCTAACACGCACACTGGTTGGGTCTATCTTCTGGTGTGGCAGGTGGATGGCACCCGAGGCACTGGCGAAAGGACTGTTTACGAACGAATCGGACTTGTGGGCGCTGGGGATTACCTTTTGGGAGGTAAGCCGTGGCTATCTGCAACAATTCACACTGTTGCTGTTGACACACAGCTTCCATCATGAGGCTTGAGTCGAGGCAGCAGCTACTGACGGCTTCATGTCCGGAAATCATGCCTTTAGCTCTTCAATCGTGCCCGGACGCCATATGGAGAGCGGACCCTGCAGATGATCCTTGAATTTCTGCAAAGTGACCAGCGCCTGTCATTGAGTAGTGTTCCACCAACCCTTCACAAGTATGTTTTCTGCAAGGGCGTTGCATCTCTTATTCTGTCGGGCCCGGTACTTTTGGTAATAACGCAGCTCGCTGGACAATATCGCTCGATTTTACACTCGGTTGGATCAATCGCCTTGTCCCCCAGCCTTTTCACCCAGCTTTGGCATCTCAATCCGGCCAAACGACTTGGTCTGTCGGAAGTGGTGGACCAGTTGGCCGCGGAGCAGCGCACGCTGCAGGGGCATGCCGTCAATTTCACGCTCAACTTTGAAGAGGCTGAAAGCTCACTCTAATGTGACTGGTTCATCGTTTGTTATCCCTCTAGTGGGTATGGTGAGTGGCGGAATACATAACATAAGTAATAATGAGACCTGCTAATCTATATAATATACAGCCGAATGTATTGCCATTGCGGAACAATGTCATATGAAGTTTCGGTGACCCTGTAGCGCGCCTGTGTTTTGCTGCATGAGAGGCAAATGCTGTATTTGCGGCACGACCCGCCTTTTATTGGTGATTGTTAGCTTGTGGCAAATGGCCGCCATATGACTTGCCAACAGGGGGGGGGGGGGGGGGGGGGGGGGGGGGCCC